CTTTCTTGACCTTCTTCATGCCCTCCATTACTCCAGAAGTCGTCACTCTGGAAGAGAAAGGAGAAACATCAGAGAATGGAACTTGATGTGTCACATCCATTGCACCAATTGCCCACATTTCTCTTCCTGGGCATATCAACTAACACTTCTCATGTGTCTCTTTAACAAGACCTACCAGTCTTGATATTTGGCCTCTCCTATTGCTACCATTTTGCAGGCCAAGTATCATCCTGGACACAACACTGATGGATGTTGGCAACAAGGCCACTATCCTTGAGAGTCCCAAGGCCCTTCCCAACTATCATTAAACTAAACCAACAAATATTTGCTTGTACTTGAAAAAAGATAGCAGGGATGGTTAAACACTTAAAACAGGTATTTATTTGCTAAAGTTTGAGCAGCTTGCTTAAAAAAAATACTCTGCTCTACAGCAGAACACCCTTAATTCTGTGCATTAAGGCTTCCTTCTGCATTTGCAATGCTTTTAATAGGTATAACATACTATACAACTGCACACACAGTTGGACAGTGCCCCAAATGAACCTTATTAGCTTAATGCACACCAACTCCTCGTAACAGCAAAATTACTCAGTGAACAGCAACAAAACAGAGGAAGACTAACTACCATCCAAGCCTGGATTTGCCACAGCAATCTGACCATTGAACTTCAAAGCCTCATAATACCCTTCCAACATTAGGCAGACTGAACTGTATATCCAGCCAGAAAAGGACCACTCCTCTTGGAACTACCTTGGCTATCCACAAGCTCTTCAGCCCAGCAGCCTTCTCTGTTGCTGTACAAAACAGGCTATTGATATGCACGAGACATTTGCTTTATTCTTTGGCACAGTATGATTCTCATTCCATGCAGGTATTTTTTTCCCCCACAAAATATGCTACAAAGGTTATTTGGGATGCTCAAAGTAAAGAGTGCCAATAGCTCAGTGCATTCACAAGGGATGTCTGGAAGCACACATCAAACTGTCCTGTTCAAAGATGTTGCTGTCAGTCTTTGTGTGCTTTCACCTGCTGTTTATCACATAACAATAGTCTATTTGATCAGAGTAGCTAACAACGTTTTCACAGCATCACCCAAGAGAACTGATCTTCAGATACACTTTTCTGATCGTGCCCATAGTTCTTTGTTAGATACCAGCTTCTGTTCATGTACTGTAAAAGTAATTTACTCAAACTGGTGCGTTCAGTGACTCTCTAGTGCTGACAGTACTGGGATCATCAGTGGTTCAGGCACTTTAGAGTGGGCCAAGATGAACTTCTGCTTAAGGTTTAGGGAAAGA